TTCCGGTTTGTTTCCCAGCTCGGACGGTGATTGCCCTCCCTTGAGCGCGGCCGTTCGCCCCCCCTCGGTGCCCATTTGAAAGTTGATGTTATTTTGGGTTTGTTTGTGCTTCCAGGGCGCCAAACTTGGAATTTCCTTCCATGGGGGGGTTGGGAGTGAGAAATACCTTGATGTTCAAGGGAGGGATTAGGGAAAGGGCAAGGGGGGGTTTTTTTTCTTTTTACCAGGGGAGGGAGGGGGGGCGGGGGGGGGGGGGGGGGGTGAAAGTTGCACTACACTGAAGACCAGCAACCTGAATGCGTGATCACAAACAAATAATCACTTGGTGCTCGAGGTACCCCAGGAGATTGTGTCTGCCAACGCCACGAACCAATCGCTAAATGTATTCCGGACTCTTGATAGAGACGGATGAATTCGCTGTGCCGTTGTAAAAACAAAAAAAAAAAAACGCCTGCCTCCGCCCTTCTGTAAATCGACGCCCGTCGTTCGCAGTCATCACGCCCATGTACCTTTCCAGCGTTGCACTTGCTCTCCCTGTTGTGGGTCTTCTGCCTCGAGAGCGTCGCCAGCTTCTCCGACCTGCTGCTGGACAACGACGGCGACGACGACTCGCCCCCCGCCCCCTCCGAGTCACCGCCGCCGCCGCCGCCAGAGCTTGGCGAACGCGACAGGCTACCCGGGGACGGCGGAGCACCAGCCCCCCCCTTCGGCGACGCCTCCGGCGGACGCGGTCGTAGGTTGGGGTCTCCCTCCACAAGGCGCTTGAAGGAGGCGTACCCCTTGTTAAGGTCCGACAGCTCCGCCGTGACCGTCGAGATGAGGAGCCGGGACGCCGGGAACACGTGTTTTAGATCCTGTTTTGCGGGAGGGGGGGGGGGGGGGGGGGGGCAGGGCAAGGTTGGGGGGGGGAAACCGGGGGTGGGGGGTGGGGGGGGGGGGGGGGCCGAATTCCCCCCCAAGGCAAGAACAAACGGGGCCCCCTTTGGCCCACCCCCCCCGCGGATTGGTGGGGGGCTCCGAAAACCCTCCCCCCCTTTCCCAAAA